GGGGGGGGGGGGGGGGGCAGCTGGGGAGAGCGGCAGGTATCTCACCAACCACCTGCTAGAAATAGCTCGTTGCGCGGATCACAGCACAGGCGAGTGGGGGAAATGGGTTCGCTGCTGCTCTTCTGTGAGTCGCCGAGGCCTGCTGTTAGTTGAGAGGAAGACGCGGGGCGCTTTTGGAAAGAAAGGGATTAAGTTGGAGACTGATGTATGATGTCCTGTTGCCTGTCTTTTGTCTTTTTCGTGTTCCCATACTATATGAGGTGGTTGGGTGCGTTTTGGCGTGTTTTGTTTTGTTTTTGCTGTTTTCCCCGCCGGGACCTCTCGCTGTTGCTGTCGTTCCCACCCCGTTCTACAGCAGTTATTGGCATGGTGCAAAGATATTCAACGTCACAGATCTCCATGGCAAATTGTTTTGGCAAGGTAAGGGGGGGGAGGATTGGAGGTGCAGCGATTGAGCGGGTGGTGACCTATGAAACGTTTGCCCGTTTATTTTTTCCCAGGACGATGACGATATGTATAACCGCACGGTAGGTTTTGATTGCAGCAGATGCCCAACAACTGGCGTCCGGCTCCTTCTCGCCGCCGAAAAGAAGGAAAGCAATGGTGGTGTTGTCGTTGTCGTTTGTGTAGGCTTTTGTCCCAACGCTGTCGTTTTCTCCTCTCGCAAAGCGCTCTGCTTCCGGTGTGCGTGGTCGTCCTCTCCGTGTGGCTAGAAAGGTGGGTAGTCTGAGTGCCGACCGGCATGTTGGGGTCGTCGGTGCTTCGTAGTCTAGATCGAGGAGACGTTGTAGCAGCAGGACAGGCAACCACGCGTCTACAGGAACAACCGAGAGATTTCGGAGTTTGGTGGCGTGTTTCAACTGTGCTTTTTTTTTTTGCGCTTTTCGCGCCCCGTGATTTGTTGTTCGGCACGTTTTGGTTTTCGGAAGTTGGTTTGCTTTGCTTTGGTGCCGGGGAGGATTGTCGTTTGCCGGGTTATCGTCTTGAGTGGTGGCTCATCCTTATCCTAGCCCTCAGGTGCCCTTGTGGAAGGACGCGCAATATGGCGCAAGTGACGAACAATGAAAATTGACGGCAAGGCTGTGAGAGAACGGGAAGGGGACTGCGGGTAGGACAGCAGAGCAGTTACCGGCCACTACCTCTGGCACGCGAATTGTATGATACTGCCAGGATGACGGGGGGGTAGGAATGTTTTTGTTGTTTTTCGTTCTGTTTCGGGGTAACAGATACACCGCAGGCGTTTTTCTTTTTGTTGTGTGTCCGACCTTGCGCGTTGTGTGTTTTCAGCTGTTATTTTGGGGTGTTCGTGCCTCTTTTTTTTTTTTTACGTCGTTTCTCCCACCCAGCAGAGAGAGGCGTTTGGCGGTTTCTCATGCAGCCTTTTTCTCTTGATTGCGAAAGCAGTCTCAGAACCCGATAAAATCGTGTGGTGTCACGGGGGTGTGGTCTGTTCTCTTTCTCTCTCTCTCTCTCTCTCTCTCTCTCTCTCTCTGTTTCTCTCTCTGTTTCTCTCTCTGTTGGTGACCTGCTCTTTTTGGCAGGAACAAGGCCCCCTGTATTTTGTGTGTCGATGTCTCTCGGGCGTGCGTCGGCTAATTAATGTTGACCTCTGCCATCTGCCTCCCCCCCCCCTGCGGCGGCGGGGAGCAGGGTGGCGACTTCATAAACAGAGCTCTCGGCTGCCCTGGCAAGACTGGGGGGGTGTGTGTTCCCCTTGTTGAGTGTTGCCGTTGACCACCAGCACCTGCCTGTATGCATGCAATGGCTGGTTGCTTGGCCACTGAAAAAACTCATCAGGTTTGGGACTAAAGAAGGCCCTGTTCTATGGTGGTATTGTAGTACGTGCGAGGAGTTTTCACAGCTGTGCGTGGGGCTTGAGGGAGGGAAGGGGGTGGGGTGGGCAGCGTAAGGTTGCGCGTGGTTTGTGGTGAAACGCCACGGCCGAGCGTTGCTTAGCCTCTGTCACGTTTTAGCTACGCCATGTCGTGCTTTGTCGGGTTATTTTCTTTGTGGTGGATGCCGCTGCCCAAACGGTATGTATCATAGGTAGTAGCACCTGTAGTTCGAGCCTGGCTTTACCAGGGCTTGGTGGGCGCGCGCAGGGCGGGGGGGGGGGGCGGGGGGTCAGTGCTCCAAAAAATGTTCTCTGTCAAGAATGGTGCAGGATGCTAAATTGCGTGCCCTTTCTTTATGGTTGGGGAGTACGTCGGATTGTGTGTGTAACGTACATCTTGGTACCTAATCGTTTCGACTTTGCACTTGAACACACCCACCATTGTACCAGTCAGTGCTTTTTGGCCACAGCTTGTCGAATCGTTAACAATATATATATTTTTTGCGGGGCGGCGGGAGGCGCGCTTTGTTGGTCAGTTTTGGACGGCGCACACCGCGAGTTATTTTCATTTCATCTCTAAAAAGAACTGTGTAGGGGGGGGGGGGGGGGGGTGCTGCGCCCCCTTTAAGGCCCCCCGGGGGAAGTTATGTCTTTCCTTCCAAAGGAACCCCCGTTTGGCCCGGGAAATTTTTGATGGGGAATGCCGGCCAACCAACTCCCCCTCTCCCCCTGTCCGGGAACGGAAAATGCCCCCCAAAAAAAAAAAAAGAAAGCGCCCCCCCCCCCCCCCGATGTTTCCCAAGGGAAATTTTTAC